AGTGCCAAGCTCATGCCTGTTTTCCATATCCCTGCACACCATTTCTATACAAGTAACCACCCAATGCCCTCATGAATGTCTCAATTGAACCAGCCTCCACATGTCTTAAAATAATCTTCACTGGGGATTCCACATTCAACAGACAACACCCAAACCAAACAGAATTCCTTTGAGGAGAAATCATTAATATTGCAATAAAAATGCCAGAGATATGGCTTTCCAAACATTTATTCATTGAATCCTGGAGCATGTAAGTTTGCACGTAGGATCCTTATTTGAGGAAGGATATAAATAAAATTGAAGGTACCGAAACTGTGGTGCACAATCAGCATGGGAGATAAACCAATGTCACGTCCTTGACCAAAGATTGGGAATGGGAATCACTTCAGCAAAACAGGAAAAGACAGACTGAACGTGTTTCACAAAATATGGAATGGACTGGTGGGAATTGGCAGAAACTAGCAGCTGATGCTCTCTGGCAGTAATAAAATGTGAGTAGTCATCTATGCAAACTGCAAAGGTCTATGTTTCTAGGTCAGTGTATCAACAATCTTTCACCCTGAAGACAATTCCACAATGGAGGACAGTACCAAAGAAAATAGCCACAGGCCCATCAGTTAAGGTGATTATTTCTATTTAAAAGTTTTCATTATTAGTGCTATCAGTCAGTAGGCCATAACTATTTCAGTAAGTACCGCCTATATAAATGTTAGCCAAGTATGGATATTACTCTGTGATGCTAACACAATGAAAAAGCAAAATCATGGCCTTTTAAACCTTGATTCAACCTGCAAATCTTCTGAAATGTTAGAAGATTGGATGCAATTGAACTCAACTAGGACCACAATCTGTTGGAGATGTCTAATGTTTTTCAGTGAGGCTGGTATACACCCATTGAAATATTTCTAACAATATTTGGGTTCCTCTTTTGCCTTATGGCTGGAAATACGAATTTGCATACAATCGGTGTGCTATTGCAAGCGCAGAATGTTTTGAAGAAGCCATCTTTGTAGATGTGCTCACACAATTTTAGAATTACAATTTTAGGCTTACAATTTAAAGTGGGAATTAGAGAAAAGCTGTCCAGAAAAGGCTGACAAGTTTGAACTATCAGTTAGAGGAATCAATAGTGTAAGGGCATCCTTAAGCCCTAGACAAATTCATTCCCTACACTAAAAAGGGACATTTGGTTGGGTTGGACTTGTAATCCAGAGAATGTGAGTTTAAATCCTACATTCAGTTGGAGAATTTGAATTCAGTATTTTTCAAAAAATGTGAAAGTTAAAAAAAGGTAATAGCAGTAACAATGACCACAAAGATATTGAGCTAATGTAATAGCACAATTGCTTCAATTAAATTCTCTGAAAAATTGAATTTGCACTCTTCATGACCTCAGGTCACTCAAATATATTTTACAGCCAATTCCGTACTTTTGAATTGTAACCACTCTTGTCAAGTCAGAAAACACAGCAGCCAAATTGTACTCAGAGACAATGTACAAATGGCAATTCAGTAAATGACCAGAAAACACAGTACATCAGACATTCCAATAGTCTTAAACCATGTAAAAAGAATACTTTTGCTAATATCAGGCATTATCGCCAAGCCACAGACTTAGGCGGGTCCAACAAACCATCAAATCTTGCAAGAGAAAGCGGCACATCACCTGAAATAACGGTTAATTATTGGATTAGGCAGATCAGTAGTTGACCATGAGAACACATTTTTAATACTACTTAAGGTTAAGTCATTATTTCACAAATTCCATGCTGGTGACATCATCAGTGGAGCCTTCAATGACGCGATGTTATTGTACTCCACTTGGAATTTATACTGTCCGGTCCATTATAGTGAGTGGTGTCATTTCTGGTTTTGATCTGTATTGGTTTATATATGGGGTCCAATTCTATATATTTGTTGACTGAAGTATGGGTGGAGAACCATGCCCCTAGGAATTCCCATGCGTGTCTATGTTTGGCTTAGGCTACTATGGTTATTTTGTCCCAGTTAAACTGATGGCCTTCATTGTCTGAATGTACAGATTTGAGGAGAGTTCATCGTGCCGTTTTGCTGCTAGCTGATGTTCGTGTATTCTGATGGACAGACAGGAAGGAAACGAGCCATCAGAATATATGAACAACAGCTAGCAGCACCCATACTTCAATCAACAAACATATAGAATTGGACCCCATATACAAACCCAAATAGATCAAAACCTGAAATGACAATACTCACCATAATGGACTGACCGGACAGTATAAATCCCAAGCGGAGTAGAACAACATCGCTTCATTGGAGGCTCCACTGATGATGTCACCATAGCGGAGGGAGGATGATATGTGTTAACCAGCGGCAAGTTTCCTTACCATGTTTAATCTGAAGCCATGAGGCTTCATGGTGCCCAGGGTCAATGTTGAAGACTGCCAGGGCAATTCTCTCCTGACTGTATACCACTGTGCTCCCACCTCTGCTATCTCTGTCCTGCCAGTGAGACAGAACGTATCCAGGGATGGTGATGATGGAGTTTGGGACATAGTAAAGTATGATTCTGTGACTTTGACTATGTCGGGCTGTTGTGTGACTAACTTGTGAGTCAGCTCTCGTAATTTTGGCACTAGACCCCAAATGTTAGGAGGAAGGCCTTTGTAGGGTTGACAGGGCTCTTTCTACTGTTGTCTTATGTGACTTGTTTGATCGGCAACAAAGAGTCCATTTTGTTACAAATCTGGCTGAAAGTGAATTTGTCAAAAGTGGTTTATTTGAGCCACACTGTGGGACATGGCCAAGTTGCACCTAAAGAAGTGAAAATAAGGGCTAGTTTGGATTTTTCTGTGCCGAGGACAAAATGTGAAAAATATATCTTCATAAGTGGATTTTCTTGGAGGCTTGTTTGAAACGTCAGCACTGGTACTTACACGTTTGCCACATCTATTAAAGAAAGGCAGAACATTTGAATGACATCAAGAATGACGGAGTGTCTTTGTCAACTTGAAAGCTGTGCTAGCAATGCCTGGAGCCTAACATTGCGTGTTTTAAATTGTTTTCTGTGGCAAGAAGAATTATGAAAAATCTTAAAATGTGGCTTCCAGTGAAGAAAAATCTTGGCTTTGTGATGCATACTGTAAATATTTTGCACAAATAAAATAATTGCTGGATTTCTGGCAACAAACAAAACAGAACTTTTTGACTGGAAATATCACTGAAGATACATCACTGTTTACTTTTTGCTTACTTGGAAGTATTCTGTCATATTTGAATAATAAGGACTCCACAAAACTGTATAAAAACCGAAATAACTGCAGATGCTGGAAATCAGAAACAAAAGCAGAGATTGCTGGGAAACCTCAGCAGGTCTGACAACATCTCAAAGATTCTGAGGAAGGGTCACTGGACCTGAAGCATTAACTCTGATGTCTCTCCACAGATGCTGCCTGACCTGCTGAGCTTTTCCAGCAATTTCTGTTTTTCATAGAATCCCTACAGTATGGAAACAGGCCCTTTGGCTAAACAATCCACACCGACCCTCAGAGCATCCCGCCCACACCCATCCCTCTAATCTACACATCCTTAAACACTATGGGCAATTTAGCATAGCCAATCCACCTAGCCTGCACATCTTTGGATTGTGGGAGGGATCTGGAGCACCTGGAAGAAACCCACACAGACACTGGGAGAATGTGCAAACTCCACACAGACAGTCACCCAAGGGTGGAATTGAACTGGGTTCCTGGCGCTGTGAGGCAGCAGTGCTAACCACGGAGCCACCATGCCACCAGACTAGAATCGAACCAAGGTCCCTGGTGCTGTGAGGCAGCAGTGCTAACTACTGAGCCACCATTATAGCCCCTTTGTTCCACAAAATTACTTCTAACCACAGGTACCATAATTATTGGTTTTAACTTCTGTGGCAAAGATAAAGCATTTTTGCTCACGACGAATTATTTATTAAATTCTTCCATACTGGGTGGAGTGGTAGAGATAGAGTGAGTGTGAGGTAGAAAAGACTTAACCTGGCACTTAACCTGATGCAATGGAGAAGGTCATTAACCTTCTTATGGCACTGCTGGACGTTCCTCCACATGTGATGGCAGTGACTCTGGTTGCAACTTCGGTTCAGACGACCAGGGTCTGGTGGCATGACCGCCTTTGCATGTCCTTCAGGAAGAGGACACCCCTCTTTTGCACTATCCCTCAACATGACCTGCAGGTCCCTGTTAGAGAATCATGATGCCATCAGCCCCATCTCTGACATGTTCAGATTCTGTCAGTCAACAAGCAGGGAAGCTTGGAATGCCAGCGTTCGCCTGTGTACACAGAGGCCTTTCAAAGATGGCACGGATGCAGAGAATGCCAGTGTTACGCCAGAGTTGTTCCAGGAATGGTGCATGGTAAGATAGGGCTGGGACTTGATATGAAAGTTGCCGTAGGAAGGTATTTAAATAAGGCAAGTTTTGGAAGTTATAGGGAGACAGCTTGTTAAAAACCCTCCAAAAAAACTTGACACAATGTGAACAGAATCAAAAAAAGCCACAAAATTCAAACCTTTAAAACTGTGCCCTCAGCAAAGTTGGGTGGGCTGAAGGATGGGGTGGGGTGGGGGAAATGGGGGGATAGGGTAGTCAAGGAGGGGAGGTGCAAAGACAAACTTTTAAAAAACCAACAATATCTGTTGATAGATATTGGATATCTATACTATTAAATAATATACATATAACTCTCTTGACCAAATAACATTCTCATATAAGCTAAAGGGAATGGCTAAGACTGAGAATATTATTTATTTATTTAGGAATAAAGCTGATATGTATTTAAAAGGGTGGAATACTAGCGGAGAAAACAGGATTAGTCAAATGGCTTCCATTTGTGATTTACACTTTTATGAAATTACAATTGCTGGTATTAGCAAATGAAAGTTTAGTATGATATTCTTTCGAGTCATATTGTATTAAAATAAATGCATTGACTTGTGCATTGAAATAACAGACAGAGGAATAATATACCAACACAAAGCAGGTAACTTTATTGGGTGAAACATGTTTGAAAGGAATTGGTAGTCTCCTGAAATCAAAATAAGCAAAAGAAAATCATGTGAGGTATCAAATGGATTTCCAATCCATGCAGTGATATAAGTTAAAAATACCCATGTTAAATGTTCAGCAGTAGTATCGCAATAGCTATTTTAATTATCCTTTCAACTGTCTTAAATTGAAAGACATAGGCAGAATCTGCTTGGTCTTGCAGCGACAGGCTGTGAGACAGGACTGGTACCAGCAACATTTGAAAGTTGCAATGTGTTCCTGTCTCAAAGCAATCTTGTTAGAGGCAAAACCTGGCCAATGGTTATACCTCAATGAAAAGCAGTGAAACAGATTATTTGAGATTTAACTCATTGCCATGCGTGAACCCTTACTGTGGACAAATTGGCTGCTTAAGTTACAAGTGACTACTCCTCAAAAATACATCACTGGTTGTGCAGCTCTTTGAGACATTGGGAAACCATGAAATATGCATTATTCAATAAAATTACTTCTTGACATGTAAAGTCAGGTTGAAGTTAAAATTATATTGTTACAATTACATATTAACATATAAGTTAACACTACTGGAGAAGTCATTAGAATTCCAGTGTCAGGCTTCACTACACTGTCATGAAAATATATTATCAGTGTAAAATCTAGTGTTGCCAACAGAAAAAACACAGTAGGTGTTTGTGTAGAAGATAACAATTTATGTGTTGAAAATAGTGGGTAATCTTATGTGCAAATGATCATACGAATAATCTTATTCTGGGGAGTGCATTTGCCACTAATCCAATCCTGATGTTTATGTTTTGGATTCTTCAGTGCTGCTTACTTCTTCGGGCCTCCTAAGTCACTTGTTCTCAGACTCCAGATTTCCTGCTCATCTATCTCAGATTTCCTGATTCCTGCTCCCTGTCTGCATCAGTGGAATAGTTGCTCTGCATTAAAATCAAATTTCATTTGCAAAGTGCGGTGAATAAGGGTGTTCTTCATACTTATAGGTCATAGTTTAGAAGGAATGATCTCACTCTGTGAATTCTGTGATCTGTGAACATGTGTCAGCTTAAACACACGTATAGCCTATATGCTATTGTTAATAGTCTTTTTCATGTGACATTAAAGTTGGTTCGCTTGTCTGAAATACCTCAATAATAATAAGGTTCAGCACAACACAGAAATCTTGCAGGGAGATAGTAAGAACTGCAGATGCTGGAGTCAGAGATAACACAGTGTGGAGCTGGAGGAACACAGCAGGCCAGGCAGCATCAGAGGAGCAGGAAAGTTGACATTTTGGGTCGGGACCCTTCTTCAGAAAAGGGTCAGAAAATTTCTGATGAGTCACGACCTGAAACATCAACTTTCCTGCTCCTCTGATGCTGCTTGTCCTGCTGTGTTCCTCCAGCTCCACACTGTGTTATCACAGAAATCTTGCAAACCTGATTACAGTATTGTCATTGTTACATATATTGCTGTTAGTGTTATTTTAGGCATTTTAAATTGAAAAAATTCCTTATTTTCATAACATTATGTTTTAATAAATTAAGCCTTGACAGTCACAATGATGGCCTAACATTATCTTCAAAGTTATATTCCTAACCTAGCTTAGTGAAGTTAGTTGATTGTAGATGTTTGGCAAGCACATTTCCTTGTCCATAATTGAAGCTTCTGCATAAAGATAGCATTAAAAAGAAATACAGGAAGGAATAAGGGAACATTTGTGCTTTAAAATTCCCCAAAATGCGCGGACAAAAAAAAAATCACCAACTCAGCATCTGTGTTGCACTTTGTTGACTGTCAAAAAACATGTTACTGTACAGCTCCTAAACGTAGATGAATGTAACAAATGAACTGTTAGCCTCAGAAGGCAGAGAAGCAGTGTCATAATGAAGATCTGGAAAATATTCTGCAATGTTTGTGACATTAGGTACTGAGTACGCTTTTAACTTAGAATCTCCATTTAACAGAGCCATGTTTAAGAATGAAATATAAAATGAGAATCCTGTGCTATTCTGCAAGGTTGACTTGACAGCTGTGCCACCCGTGCTGTATATTGTTATGTTTTGCAGCGGATAGGCATTCGCCTTAGGATTTGTCACACAGAGATTTTTCAGGCCAAAGATGACAAGATATTCTGTAAGTACGGCATTAGGACTGCACAAAGACAACCTGAGGTTTGGAACTGATGAGTAGTTCAGCAACAGCCCCAGAGTAGCAGTATCTGACACCCATACGACTAATTCACTGCCGTAGCTGAAGGTTGGGCTGGCCTTGTCGATTTCTTGAGACGAGACAGTCTTACAGTTGCATGCAAGGTTGGCAAGAGCAAACCCACAGTCTGGGATGCTAGAGAAGCAGCTGCAATTGCGGAAGTTACTTTCTTTTTGAAAGATGAGTGTGTGGTTACTGCTTCTCACCAAAGCCACACAGACACAGCACCACAGTCCAACAAAGAATGCCACCTGGTCTGGCTCAGAACCAGTCAGCTTCATGTTTACGACATTACGTTATAAAACCTGATGGAGAGTTACCATTCTTTCACAGAGCCTGAAACAAACAAAAGAGGATGTGGTTATAACTATTTCTTTATCATTGTGCAGTTATTTAAAAATAACACTGAAGGGTTGGTGGCATAGTGGTAATGTCACTGGCCTACTAATCCAGAGGCCCAGTGCTAATGCTCTACGGATGTAAGTTCAAATCTGACAATAGCAGCTGCATTTGCTGAAACTGCACAGACAAAAAGTATTACAGATATTTACATTCAACTGCAACCTCAACCACATCCAAATTATCTGTCCAAAAATTCAGCACTTTCATACTCTTGCAAATAGCATTCCTGTGTGGGTGAGACAAGGGTAATTGATTGCTTGGGCCCCATTCCTTTCTATTCCAAAATAGAAAGACTCTGCTCAGTGCCTTCTAGCAGTAGCTCATTCAAACTCGTGCACCCTTTGAAGAATTTTGGGTGATGATGTCTTGTCAGCAGTTTAATTCTTAACAACATTAAGGTTTCAACTTCAATCTCTGATGATGGCGATGAAGACACAATTGACTTCAGTGCTTTGAGCTAGTGATCAATAGAACAACTCATCCAGGGTTCCCACTCCTGATCATAAACAACTAACATGATATGAAATTGTCTTGTGTTCAGTGAGTACAGATTCAGGCTTGACTTTTAGTGCTCCTACTGATATAATAAAACAAAACAACAAACTGCAGATGCTGGAAATCTGAAACTCAGCAGGTCTGGTAGTATCTGTGGAGAGAAAGCAGAGTTAACATTCCGGCCTAGTTCTGAAGAAGGGTCACTGGGCTTGAAATGTTAACTCTGCTTCCTCTCCATAGATGCTGCTGGACGTGCTGAGTTTTGCCAGCAATTTCTATATTTGCTCCTAATGACGCAACTGTGTGGCTTGACATCAAATACAGCTCAAGCTTGTATGTAAAGAATTAAATGGTGGAAAAACAACTAAATCAACGCCGCTATGAAAAAGATTTGTTTGATAACTATGATATTGCAGTTTGTGCACTGGGTGGGAAAATGCTGACTGAATAACCACTTGGCCAAACACCTGTCCTCGGGTGCAAAAATGACCACATGATTTTGATCACTTGCTGTTTCAATTCACCATCTTGCTGTCATACTTATATTTCTGTTTTAAGTCTCCTGCAGTCTTCCAGTGAAGCCCAATTCAAGCTGCAGTAATTTTTCCAGTTAGGCATTTTACAACCTTTTGGACTCCAGATTACATCACATAACCATTATAGGTCAATACCGTCTTGAGATGTACCTTGTTATGATCCCAGCTGATGGTATTAATGGCTAAGTCATACCACAGGACAAAACCTGGCCTGATTGATTTATTTTATCATTCACTGAAACAGAATACCTCAAGCTACAAAGTTTCTTTAACAACCAAACAGTTTTATTACACAAGTAATGAGAAGAAAAAGAAAGCTATCTAGAGATAGAATTTCAAAACATCCAACAAAAAAGGCTTCAATCTATTCCCCAACATCATTACTTTACAGTGATTCAAATCTAGAGAAATTATACCACCAAATGAAATATTACATTCAATTTAACTGATTATCCTCAGTTTCTGTTCTGTGAACTGTGCTGCTGTCTTACATTAGTACTGTCAAAATCAAAAGCTTAGTCATTTCAGGTTCTAACATCCAGAAGACTTTGAACCAATCAGTCCTGGTCTGGAAGCTGCAGGAATTAAACTTTTCTGCTCCAAACACAATTTCTGTCAGGGAGAGGTATTAGAGACTTGCATCTGATCCCAGTCAGGGCTCACCAGACTATCAAAAAACACTCAGTCTTGGTGAAGGGGTACTGGTGGTGTTGCTGGATGTCTGAGGAGTGACGGTGTTGCTAGATAAAGAGAGAGTGGCAGTGTTGCTGAGTGGTAGGTGAGTGGCAGTGTTGCTGTGTGGTGGGAGAGTGGCGGTGTTGCTGTGTGGTGGCGGAGTGGCGGCGTTGCTGTGTGGCGGGGGAGTGGCAGTGTTGCTGTGTGGCGGGGAGTGGTGGTGTTGCTGTGTGGCGGGGGAGTGGCAATGTTGCTGTGTGGCGGGGGAGTGGTAATGTTGCTGTGTGGTGGGGGAGTGGCAGTTTTGCTGGATGACAGAAGAGTGGTGGTGTTGCTAGGTGAACGGAGAGTGACACTGTTTCTGTGTGGAGGGGGAGTGGTGGTATTTCTGGGTACTAGTGATGTTGCTGTGTGAAAGGGGAGTGACAATCTTCCATAAACACTTCAAAGGTTCCCTGCTCTCTGACACATTCTGGATTAAGTTCTGGAAGAACTGTTAGATCTAGATTTTTTTTGGAAGACACTTCACAAAAGTAAATGACACCCTTATGCCACTGTTTTAAAATCCAAATTCTAAAAATGACTTGTGTCTCCTTGCTTGGGATGAATTTCTGCTGTGCCCCCTGAATTACCCCTAGAAAGCCCTGTCATTGCTGCCCCACCATCTCCCTGCTAGCCTCCTCTTCCAATCAGCTCTGGCTAGCTCCTCCCTCATGTCTTTTAGTTACCTTTACGCAATTGTAATACCATTACATCTGATTCCAGCTTCTCCCTCTCAAACTGCAGGGTGAATTCTACCATGTTATGTTCACTGCCCACTGGGGGTTCCTTCACCTTAAACTCTCTAATCAAGTCTGCCTCATTTCACATTGCTAAATCCACAATTGCCTATTCCCTAGTGGGCTCTATCACAAGTTGCTTCAAAAAAAAACCTTCTTGTAGACATTTCACAATTTTTTTCTTGAGATCCACTGATTTTCCCAGTTCACCTGCTTATTGAAGACCCCATGATTATTGAAATTATGCCTTTCTTCACGCTTTTTCTCTCTCCAGATTTATTTTCTACACAACATCCTGACTATTGCTAGGAGGCCTGTCATAATTTCCATTAGGGTCTTACTTACTTTGCGGTTCCTCAACTCTACCCACACTGACTGTACACCTTCTGACTCTATTTCACCTCTTGCTATCAATTTAATTTAATTTCGTACTAGCAAGGCAATCCGCGCCCACTGCCCCTCTGCCTACCCTTTCGATAGGATGTGTATCTTTGGATATTTAGCTTACATCCCCTTGCAGCCACATCTCTGTCATATCCACAACATTATATCTGCCAATTTCAATCTGCACTATAATCTCAATTTCATTGTTTTGTATAATGTGTGTATTTAAGTATAACATTTTCAGTCCTGTGTTGACTACCCACCCTTCTCATAGCTGTCCCCTTATCTACTGTGCCTGAAGTTGGATTCCTGACACTTGCCATACTCTCTGGCCTATTACTTATTCTGGAAACTTTAATAACATCTGCTGAGCCCTCATTCGCTTTAACTTTTTCCATGCAATTATTTAGTTTAAAGCCCCGTCCACAGCTCTAGTTATGTGATTCATCATGATTCAGGTGGAGCCTGTCCCATCAGAATAGCTCCTTCCTTCCACAGTACTGGTGACAATGTCCCATAAAGTTGAACCTGTTCTTTTTGACACCAATCTTTGAGCCACATGTTTAATCTTGTTGACTCTGTGCCAATTTGCTTATGATAGTGATTCAGAAATTATTGTGTTTTTGATATTAAGGTAGTTCTCTCACCTCATGTTGGTATATCAGATCAAAAGGATTGGATCCTATGGATTCAGTAGGTGCATCCCTAATGAGAAAAAATAACAAGGGAATTCCTCTAATCACTCATAAGGACATTCTTGGCAATAAGCTATTATCATGGTCTTCAAAGTTTCATGTCATTTTTGAAATGTATTTTGAGATTGTGCATAATATGTGAATCTAAACTGTTTTATTTGCAAACTAATCATAATTTCTTCGAATATTTATGAGATAAAATTTGAGCCTTGATCTGATTGTGTCTCTTGTCCCTATCTTGTAAATATTGAATTAATTTTTCCATGACTATTTTTGTATTCATTCTCCCTAAAGTCCTTACATCAGGAAATCTTGCAGCAATATCCATAATTGATATGATTGATACTGGTTTCCATTCTTGGTTTTAGGTAGGAGTACAATGTAATCTATGAAGACACTGCCAAACAATTCTTTGAAAGCTGGTATCAGGAGCAAGTTTAATCGATAGTTGGAATATCTCCACTACTGGCATGCCTGGCCAATAAAATTGTTTTAAGATTTTAGCCTATATTTTCTCAATATGCAAGGGATCCTCCATTGGAATTTTATGAGCCACTCAAAACATTTTGATACGATACTCCAATTGGACTACAACTTATAGAACTCCAGTCCTCGATGGCTGATATTTAAGGTGATCTCATTTTCCTCATTAGAGCATTACTTTTCAAATAATAACTTCCAAACATTGTTCTGATTCAATTCCTGAGTCGGCTGTTCATAATATGCTCACAATTCAGGATCCATTTGTTGATATCTATTAGAGATATTGGGCTAAATGTGTCCACTTCTTCTTTTAGCCTTCAATTTTTTTATTTAAGTTTTCAAAAAATTGTATCCCACAAATGAATTTCGAAGTAATCTTCCTCCTCTTCCTGTCTAATTCTATGGACTTGAGATCTAATCACAACATAGTCAGGAAACAATCCAGGATGTTTCTCCTCTAGCATTCCTGTAGCATTCCTTTTATGTCCACTGTTGTTCCACCGTACAGAGTGAGACCAATATCTTTGCACCAGCCAGGTTATTTCCCAAGATAAATCAATTCCTTCTATAGGGATGTGTTTCTCTACTCAAACCACAACTTCTCCATTTATGAAATCACTCTTCAATCTAACTCTATGAAATGGGACCATTTTGCAATCTTGATGTATGCCTCCAATTAATATATTCTCTTACTTTTTATCACATTCTCATAGAATTCCTACAGTGGAGAAGCACTCGATATTCGGCCTATTGTGTCCACACTGACCCTCCGATGAGCATCTCATCCAGACCCACCACTCCACCCACCTACCCTGTGACCCTGCATTTCCCATGGCTAAATCACCTATCCTGCAGATCCCTGGACACAATGGGACAATCTAGCATGG